GGTGGTGGGGGAGGGAGCCAGGACCGGACCCGTCCCCAGGGCCCCCGCTCCACGCCACGGCTTGCTGCTGCCGGCACGGCCAGAGCACCCACGCTGCCGCTGGGGAAAGCCGCACCGCCGAGCACGGGGGGCTCCCGCTGCTGCCCCGACCTGCTCCCAGAGCATCCCCCGCACCAGGAGGGGGGCTGACGGGCAAGAATCCGGGGGGAAGGGGGCCCCTGGCCTGCAAAGCACAGGGCCCAGCTGGGGAAGGGCGGGGGGTGGTCACAGCCCCCCACGCTGGTGCAAGCCGCAGGCTTTGCTGAACATGCCCGCAATGCTGACCGCGACCCGCTGCAATAAAGCAATGACGATTCCTGCAGAGCTGCCAGGGTCTGCATGGGAGCCCCCTGCCCAGGGGGGACGGGCAGCACTGGGAGGAGCTGGACGCGAGGTGGGGAGATGCGGAAGCTGAGTCTGGGGGGAGAGCATGGTCAGGACACCCCCCACCCACCACCGCTCCCCATCACCCGTGAGTTTGGAGGGAGCCCTGTCCCCTCCTTTGCCACATGCTGAGACCCCCCCAAACTCCCTGCTGTGAGCACTCGACCCCAGCTCTGTCCCAGAGGGCGCTCTCCTCTGCCGACACCCCAGCACCCCTCCTGGCCCCCTCCCATCTCCGCACCCCGCAGCTGAGCACCCCCAGCCCATCGCCCTGGGGGGGCCTTGGGGGGCAGCAGGGGAGCCACGTTGGTGCAGGGCCACGGGGCGGTGGGGTCCGAAGCTGGGACCCCTGGCAGGGTCCTCGTGCCGTTATTTGTTAAAGCAGCGCCTGCAAGTGGCTGATAAGATGGAGGGCGGCACCGGCTCCCACTGCAGGGCAACGGGGCTGGGCAGGATCCGTGCTGGGACCCTTGATCCCTGTCCCAGAGCCCCGTGGAAAGGCAAGGGGGGCTGGACCGGGAGACGCTCGCGCTCAGCTCCTGGCCTGGGCTTCTCTTCAAGAGGGGCAGGGGTGAGGCTGAGCCGCCGGTCTTTGTCCCGTGTCCCCAGTGCGGGACCTCGGCGCAGGGGAGCCCCTCGCCCTCCGCAGAGGGAGCAGGGCCAGGGCGAAGGCACGAAGGATCAGAGCAGGGCAGCAGCATCGCGGCGGGGAATTGAGAGACCCTTCCAGCATCCCCAAACTGGGAACAGGGCAGAGCCGGACAAGGAGCGATGGAGCCAGGGCAGGAGGATGGTCCAGTGCGGGGTGAGGCACATCCCTCGTACTGGGGACAGAGGAGGAGGGAGCGGTTCTGGACTTTAATCCCCACCTTCCGTCCCTCGCTGCGCTCAGCCAGCGCCGTGGGGAGCTGCCCCCAGCCGCGGGGCTCCGTGGCGGGCGGGAGGCAAAGCGGGAAGCGAGCAGGCATCCTCCGGCCGAGCGGCCCCTGGCTCCCACCTCCCAGCCTGAGCAGCAGCCATCGAACGTTAACCCCAACTGCGTTCTCAGAGAGAAAGGTTAGCGAGGGCCCGGGTTGGTTATGGTTTTACTTACAGCCTCAACAAGACAGTGTAGTTTCCCAATTAGCCATTTGATTTTCCTTAATTACCAGCAGAACGCGAGGCAGAGACCAGCTCCATACAGCAGCGGATTAAGTGGAGCTGAGAGACCAGCTCTTCGCCATCAGCTCAGTTTTTCCCCAATACGAAAAAGCAGTTCCAGAGGGAAAGGAATGCGTCGAAGCGGGTTTGTTGTCTCCCAGAACAGGTCTCGGGGACACCCAGAAGCTGCCGGGCTGGGCAGGGGTTTGGCCAAGCCACAGACCAGCTCCAGGCATCTCCACTGCGCTTTGCCAAAGCGCACACAGATGTTTAGGTCTGGTTCTCTGAAGGTGCCGAGCGCCCTCAGCCTGGCTCGGCCTCGGCGGAAGCACGGGGCAGGTCTGGAGCCCACGCTACGAACTGCGGGCCCTGGGGGCAAGCACCCTCCCCTGGCCCGGGCCACCCACCTCCAATCCCAACGACTCGATGGTTTCTCCTCCCGTGTCCATAACCTGACAAAAGCCTGAAAACGTTCATTTCCCCTCCCAGCTTCGCAAATGACGGCAGCTCCTTCCCGCACAGACGCGGTTACAGCAGGGCTCTCCTGCCTCTTGTGTTCATGTCCCCACCACCCCCGGCCCCTGCTGTGCAACCAAAGCCCCACAGGAGACGGCTGAAGCTCTGAAAACGAACCAAGCACTCCGTACAAAATCAAGGGAACTTTTATTTACAGAAAGGCTGCTGGTTCAGCGAGAGCCGGGGTGGGGGGCGCTGCTCCAGGCAGCAACACTCCTGCTCCTGCCCCTCCAGAGGGGGAAGAAACCTCTCGGTTAAAACACAGGCAGGTAGGATGGTGCAAGTGCACTCAAAGGGAGGAGAAGCACAGGGAAGCGGAGCAGCCAGCCCCCGCTGCGCCTCCCGAGCAGCCTGTCACAAAGGGTGGGCGTAAGGCACCGGGTATTTGCTCCCCTTTCGCTGGGGACTTTGCTCACCCCCAGCCACCGCCCATCACCGCTCTCTGCCCATGCAAGGGCTCGCGCCGGGGCCCAGCCACTGCCTGCTCAGCCCAGAGGCACAAACGCCACAGGGCTCTCCCCTCCCAGGCCCTTGGCCCCGGCCGATGCTGATAGGGAAACCTCTGGCTCTTCCCTGGGAAGGAGGAAGAGCTCCCGCCCCTCTTCTACGGCAGAAAGATCGACGCAAGAAAAGCAGCAGTGCTGCTGGCCAGCACCGTCCCCCAGGCAGCATCAGGATGACGCTTCCTGAGAGCGCAAAAGAGCTGCTCTGTCCCCGACACCTCCAGGGAAGGACGCTCCAGGCAGCTCTTCTGCAGAAGGCGCGCTCAGGAGTAGCTGAGGGGCATCCTCCTCCACAGCCCCCCACACAGGCAGTTTTTGATCCAGCGCTGCTCCCACTGCTTCACCGCAGTGACTTTGTTGGGCGATTTCAGCATCGTAACGCAGCCGCACCTGGAAGGAAAGGGAGAGGTGCCGCCAGGCCCGGAGGGGACACAAAGCCAGTGCTGCTGGGGCATCTGTACGGGTCCGGCAGGGAGCAAGGGCTCTGAGGAGGAGACCAGCTTCTGTCGCTGGCAGGTGGTGTTTGCGAGCACTGAAAACCGGCTGAAACCACGCAAGCAATTACCTTAAACGAAGGGAGGTTATCTTGGAGGAGGAGGCTGCCTGCAAGACAACAGCCCCCAGCTGAGATTTATGCATAAACCAGCAGCCATCTCCTAAAAATGATCTGCTACGGGGACCTTCTATTAAACCCAGTAATTACAGCTTGCTCAATCACAGGGCTGGATGGGGGTTTGCTCCCTGCACCGTGATTTGGAAACCCAGGCTCTTTTGTGAGGGTGGGTGAAGAGGACGGCACAAAGAGCCTTAAAATGCAAACCCAGTTTGAAAGGTGACCCAGAAATGGAACCGTGGGTGCTGTGACCGTTTCCTCTCAGCAGCTCCCCTCCAAGAACACCGGTGGGTTTATGTAGAGACCGGACCTGCAAAACAAGCTGGGGATCTGTCACCACCAGTAACGATGCCTGCAGGCCAAGTTCCGGTCTCTGTTTGCCCAGGCAGCCTGACCTCCCCCAGGTCTCCCTGGTAAAGCAAGATCTTATTTATTCTGTGACACATAATTCAGCCCTCAGACGAAACGTAGCTCAGTCACTGGCAAGGACGGGCGCAGTTAATTCTCACAGAGCGGGGGTTACTTTGCAGCAGGCACAGCAATAAGATTTTTAACCCAGCAGCCACGCTGCAATGACACGGCAGCAGCCCTCGAGTCAACGGTGCTGCTCTTCAAGGAGCACTTTAAGGATCTCAGTCTTCCAGGTTTGGGATGCCTTAAACACAACCACAGCTGCTTTCTTCCCACGCAAGGGACAGTGCCATGCACCAAAGCCTCACTATAGAAGCAGCATTTCCTCCTGCAGACACAATTAACGTAAAATGACACTGGGATAGCAGCTAGGGTGGTAGACAGAGACTGAGAGCGCCTTGGAACAACAAAAACAGTCCCAGCGTCTGCCGAGGCCTCCTCTGCACTGAAGGGATTACGCCTGCGTCGCTCACCTGGTACAGGACTTGCATTCCTCCGTGGGGTACGCTCCTAAATGAAGCCGCCTCAGGTGATCAATTTTGGGCTGTCCAGGCGCCCTGGGTAGGAAGGAGAACGGGAACTTCCTTAGAGTTTCACTTTCTAAAAGCTGTGTGCAGGACAGCGAGCAGCATTCCAGTGGCCAACACGACACAGGCTTTGACTGCCCAGGCTACCGAGTGCCACGGACTCAAGGCCATGCTGACAGAACCCAATCACAAACTGGCATTTCCCACCCCGGCCCCATTTGCCATCTCTTCTCGATACTTTAAACCCCCAGCCCATTGCAAATTAAGACACAAATTCAAGCAGAGAGGATGAACTGCTCTTGGGTCACAGCAGCAAGTGGATGAGCCAAAAGCCAGAGGCGTCCCAAGCCCACTGATGTCTCAGAGCTGGGAAGAGACCCCAAATCCGCCCGACCCCCTCTTCCCACCACACCTCCTATTCCTTTTGGGTCTCTGTACCTGACAAAGGCATCAAACTGGGAAGAGACGGTGTGACCAACGAGCCCAGGAGCTTTCCCAAACTGCAGCCGGACAAGCTGCTTGTTCTGCAGCTTGCTGATAATGCCATCGTTGATGGGCAACCAGTCAATATTGGGAATGAGCAACTGGCTGGGCAGGAGGCAACACTCGTCTATCAGGGTATCGTCTGGCTCCGTTATGTGATTTTCCTCACGACCTGCATGGAAAATGAAGCGGTGAGAGCGAGCCAGCATGATCTTTAATTTCTCATTTAAAGATCAAGAGAACTGCGTGCAGTTTCCTCCTCCACCCGCCAACACAGCACAGCAAACAATAACCTCGGCAGCTGCGCCTGCCCTTCCTAAACACTACAGACCCACTCAGAAATTACTCCCCGCAATTATTCCTTTCACGCACAATCCACATTAAGGAAGGATTCTTTTGTTTAGGGAAACTGCCGAATGCTTACAGCACAGCCAGAGCTTAGTTAGGAGCCTGAAGAGGAGGGACATGCTGTCCTGGGTGTCGGAGGTTGCTGTGTAGACGGGAAGGCAGCTTGGCTTCAGCAGTCCCCAAATACGGATCACCACCATCAGCTCCCTGAACATGCCCAGGGACGCGCCGTCTCGCAGAAAGCTGTGTCCGGGCCGCACAGGAGAGCCCTGCAGAGGGAAAAAAAGGCGGAGATAGGGACTTACACGCAGCCTGCCAGAACCACCGCTCCGTTTTCAGACAAATCCAGTTTCAAGCCATACACAGCCTCTGGGGCTCGCTGCCAGAGGAGGTCAGAGATGGACAAAGGTTGATAAAAGGTTTAAACGGGTCAGGCAGCTACTGAGCCCGCTTCTCTGAACGCGGCTGCCGGCTCCTGCAGCGCCGGTGCCCAGATGGGCACAGAAAGGGCCGGTTTGTATTTCTGCTGTTTAATCTTACACTCTTCTCCCAGGTGTTTTGATAGCAACACCAGGGTTGTGTGTGACTCAGCTAAAGCTACCTGAACACCACGCATGGGTTTCTTTGCTCCTCTGGGTCTGTCCTCGGGACGCCAGGCTCTCACCTGGTTAGGAAGGCTGGCCAGCAGATAGAGCACAAAGTCTCCCACCCACTGGATGAGCTGCTGCAGGGACTGCAACGTGGTCATCTCCAGGACAAATTCTTCCGTCTTCAAGTTGATCATCACCTTGTCAATGTCTGAAACGGGAGCAAGACACCTCCTGGCTCAGGGAGAAGACAGGGCCAAACTTCACCCCCTGTCCCTGCGGAGCCAGGAGAGGACACCCTCCTCTTCCTCAAACCCAGGGAGTTACTGCGAGACCGCGACACTCTCTATCAAACCTGAAAGGGGAACGATCTGGTACAAAATGCTCAGAGAACGCAGTGCCTGCTGTTATGAGCAATCACTACCTATGTCTGTGATCTTGGAGCAGATCTCGGTGAGTCGGTCCCCGGGACTCTTGTCCGGGGAAGCCATACACAGCCTCTGGGGCTCGCTGCCAGAGGAGGTCAGAGATGGACAGAGGTTGATAAAAGGTTTAAACGGGTCAGGCAGCTACTGAGCCCGCTTCTCTGAACGCGGCTGCCGGCTCCTGCAGCGCCGGTGCCCAGATGGGCACAGAAAGGGCCGGTTTGTATTTCTGCTGTTTAATCTTACACTCTTCTCCCAGGTGTTTTGATAGCAACACCAGGGTTGTGTGTGACTCAGCTAAAGCTACCTGAACACCACGCATGGGTTTCTTTGCTCCTCTGGGTCTGTCCTCGGGACGCCAGGCTCTCACCTGGTTAGGAAGGCTGGCCAGCAGATAGAGCACAAAGTCTCCCACCCACTGGATGAGCTGCTGCAGGGACTGCAACGTGGTCATCTCCAGGACAAATTCTTCCGTCTTCAAGTTGATCATCACCTTGTCAATGTCTGAAACGGGAGCAAGACACCTCCTGGCTCAGGGAGAAGACAGGGCCAAACTTCACCCCCTGTCCCTGCGGAGCCAGGAGAGGACACCCTCCTCTTCCTCAAACCCAGGGAGTTACTGTGAGACTGCGACACTCTCTATCAAACCTGAAAGGGGAACGATCTGGTACAAAATGCTCAGAGAACGCAGTGCCTGCTGTTATGAGCAATCACTACCTATGTCTGTGATCTTGGAGCAGATCTCGGTGAGTCGGTCCCCGGGACTCTTGTCCGGGGTGTTCAGGAAGTGCGGGCGTAGCAGTGATTTCAAGGTGCAGCTAATGGCGATCAGGAACAGCTTTGCGTGGTAGTCACACACACGGGCTATCGTGCTGGAGGAGAGCTTGCAGAGAGATGCCTTCATGGCAACAATGCGCGTGGAGAGGACCTGATTGACAGAGAGACACCGGGAATAATACAGAAGTAAAGGCAGAATTAGAATAAACTCATTAAAGCAAGCTGCTTTATTCTCTGCTCTCCGCTTCTGCTACAAGAATGACATGAATAGCGAATGCTGTTCCGTGCATGTACAAACAGTCCTACTGTTCCCAGAATCTCCGTCAAAAATAGACTTTACAATCTCACCAGAAGTTTCCAGCAGACCCATTAATGTTAGTGAAAATGAACAAGGCTTAAACGGAGGCTCTTCACACCTCCAACACTGCTCGAGTAGAGTACTCGGAGCCAGCTGAGCCAGGCAGTCAGAGCCGTCTGTCTTCTGAGCACTGGCAAACACTGCTCCCTCCTCCCCTCCACGTGCCCACCCTCTGCAGGGAGCCAGGGAGCTTCCCCTCCCGCTGACCTGCTGCAGGGCCGCATTCTGGCGCATGTACTCTTCGTGCAGCTTCTCCACCAGGTTCTGGACCATGTTGGGTTGGACGTGGAGCAGGATGTCCCACCAGTCGTAGCCAGTCACCATGCAGTACTCCAACAGGAACAGCAAGTGACGGAGGGACATGTTCATGTCCAGCACGTGGCCCATGGAGGGGGAGATACGAAGCATGCTCAGCTGGAGGGAGGAGGCAACGGAAAATCTGTATCAAGAACTGGATTGAAGACATTCCAGAAAGCTACCACACAACACATGGAGAACTGCAGCTGATCCCTGGCCTGAACATGCAATTCCTGCAGTAATGGGACACATCCCTTCCTGTTTAACATGGATCATACAGCTAGAAGTTTAACATGGATGGATCATACAGCTGGAATTTTAACATGGATGGATCATACAACTGGAAGCAACATTCCCAGAACTTTTCTGAATGATCCATCATCAGTTAGAGAGATAAAGTGAGCGCCCGGATGAGCAGAACTAATCCCCCCCACCCCCTAACAGAGCACACTACCTTCCCATGGCTGTCAATGCCAGCCAAGGCCAGAGATGTCCAGGAGAGCTGCATGGCTTTGAAGTGAACCAGCGGCCCAGCAGTTCGCTGCCGTTTGATAGTCTGCTCATCCACTGAGCGCTGAGAGGAAGAGCCGTAGAAGACAGCCATCATTTGCAAGGACAGGCGATGAACAATGTGGACGCTGCCATCGTGAAAAGCCAAAGCCAGACCTGGGGAGAAAACACACACGGGGCTGAGCAAGCGACTCCTCTGGGTATGACCCAGACCTCACCCAGAGAAGCAGCCGCCACTGAAAGCCCACGCGGCAACATGATGGCACCCAAAAGCCCGTGGGCTCACAGGCACATTCGTATCTTGAGGCCACGCCAGCGTTTCACAGCCTCTTCCCATGGAAATCAAATGGGACGGCCTGGAAGACACCACGTCTTTCAAAGTTTTCCTATCAGCATTTCATAGGGTTCACTCCACATTCTCACGTTCAGAAGATGAAGGAGGTGAAGTTTCAGGCAGAAGCTACATATTTAGGAGAAAGACAACAGAGACTCCTTACCCAGTCCAGGGAAGAACTTGGTGTCGTTGGCCACCTTCAGGTCAGTATTGGTCAGGGAGATCGGCAGCTTCGGCAGAGCCACGGCTGAAACCCGATCCAAGTCATTGGTGGCAGAAAGAATCCGCCATTTCAGTATCATGGGCTGCTTGTCTCCAACTTTGAAAAATAAGTAAGTAAGTGAGACTTCTCTCCCCAAAGGGATCAGAAAACGCCATGTTCCCCCCGCAATTTCTGCCCACATACCCCAACTAAGTGGGATTACAGACCAAGCACCTTTTTCATTCTCCCAGACCAGGATATTTCCCTTGTATGTCCCCGTTTTTTCCCTTGATCTCAGTAACTGTACAAACAACTTGTTTTGCTAAATCTCTTCGGACAGAAGGCTCTGCTGCTGGGGAGTAGAAAAACCCTTATGTACAATGACCCTTTATATTTCACTGGAAGGAACCACATGGATTTAATTTTGTTATATCTGAAATCAGGTGGAAAAACCATGCAGGCTGCACAGCACGATTAAACCAG